AGAAAGTTCTTGGACTTAAATGAAATGTTTCTTATCATTGGAATGTTCTGTTTTCTGGAATAATGGAACAAACGTGGTCATCAGCAATAATCCTATGACACAGGAAATTTGGGGAAGTGTCTTGAGATTTTTTTTTTATTACAAGAAAATGAATAGTCTATATACTATATGGTTGGGATGTGTATATATATTTAAGAATTAGGTCAGGCCACACACAAAAAAAGCAAGTTGCAACCCGGAATGCAGATGAGAAGGAGATTAAGAATAATGGGAGAATCTATCTAAGAAAGAATGGGGCATGTGTTAGCATCACATAGGTATTTTCTACATTTGTGTGAAGTGACCATCTACATCAGGGGTGTCAAAATTGCTACGACGCATCATGTGATATATTGCAAATTTTTTCTCCTTTGCTAAAATGGGGGTGGGGGGGGGGCATGTGTATAAATATTTATACACATCCCACGTGACACATCTGGCCTGCGGGCCACGAGTTTGACACCCCTGATGTACATACAACACTTACACTACAGTATTACAAACATTGTTCCTAACTTGAATATCTTCCTGCTTGCTCTGGTAGGCAAAATCCATTGTAATGATTTGCAGAATTGGGCTGAATATCTTTCCTTAGAATTACAGGGTTTTGTTATCAGGGTTTTGCTAAAAGTGCCACTAATGTAAGTGCCACTAACAACTTCTTTTACTTTCCTTCATAGTTGAGAGTATATGCTCTTTAGGCAATCACTGATAACAGGGAAAAATCATTGGATATCCACTTTTGGCCATCATCCATTGCACACATAAGTTCTCAGTTGCAATTTTCCATGACTAAGAAATGGTTGGATATGAACATCCACTGGACACATAGCCTTAGTGAATGAAGGCAGATATGCGTGTCCCAGGATAATGTTGGGGGATCCAATCTGGGTCGGTCATCAAACCAGAGGACCGATCCAGATTGGGGTCCTGCAGCATTGCCTTAGTCAATGATCAGGAATTTATACTAGGAATACACATACCATACCTATCAAAGAGATACCAAGATACCAACCTTCCCCATAAGATTGTAATCAGGCAAAATAATACACCACTAATGGATGAGACCACACAGAATCCCTTGCTTTATTAATTACAATATAGATTTTGCCTCAACACACACCCATAAAACTTTACAGATTCACAAAACACCAGCAAGTAACAGATCAAGAATCTGGAGTGAAATGGATCACAATCTAGATGTTGCATGTACACATGACAATACCCTTCATCCAGATCCCTATCTCTAGCCACTTGTTAATATGTTAATAACACTCTTCACCATAAGTTCTGTCGTTCCTGGGTGAAGTACTTCTTGATGTCATTTTTCACCTACTAGTTGTCTCAGTGAGATAAGGGACACGGTAGTTCAGTGGTTTACAGGGACGCGGTGGCTCCATGGCTAAGACGCTGAACTTGTCTATCAGAAAGGTTGGCAGTTCGGCGGTTTGAATCCCTAGCACCATGTAACGGAGTGAGCTCTCGTTACTTGTCCCAGCTTCTGCCAACCTAGCAGTTCGAAAGCATGTAAAAATGCAAGTAGAAAAATAGGACCACTTTGGTGGGAAGGTAACAGCATTTAGCCTTCGGCGTTTAGTCATGCCAGCCACAAGACCATGGAGACGTCTTCGGACAGTGCTGGCTCTTCGGCTTTGCAATGGAGATGAGCACCGCCCCCTAGAGCTGGAAACGACTAGTACGTAAGTGCGAGGAGAACCTTTTACTAGTTGTCTCCATTCCGGTCTGATTTCAAACTGGGTTAATTGGTCTTTGCAGTGTCTAAGGCTGCATTCCTTATGTTTTGTTTTTCTCAGGCCAGTGCCTACATCCCATGCTATTAAACTCAGATCAAGTCTATAAATTTTACAACACAATCACTGCACATGAAGATCTTTTTCTTCTTTCCAAAAGCTATCAGCTCCAGCCATCGTGACAGTAGAAGCATCAGCTATGAACTGCATCAGTCCTGGGGATTGTTTCAGTATCTCCCAATTCTCAGATTACTCTTCTCCACAGTAACAGAACAGAAAATTGGATTTAGTAGGATAGGTCCTTTTCTACAATGGATGGAGGGTATCTGTAGCATGCCCATCCAGAGAAAACAATAATTTATTGATTTTTTTTTTTTTAAATGTTATTTTGAATTGACTTTGAAGCTCCTATTGCTTTTCAGCCCCATAACAGTTCTATCTGCCATGCGCACAAAGGATCACTGTAACTTTTAAAAATTCTGTCTAATGATGCAAATGAGTAGAACTACTTTTTATCCATTTAGAGCAGTCTCTTCTATCTCACTTTTTAGCTTCAGGAGTTAAAAATGATGGTCTCCAATACTTGGAGGCAGCTTGTTCATGTTTTTTTCAGCAAAGCCTGTGACATTTTAAGTAGTGACAAAAATATTGTATTTTTAAGCTCTTAAAATTATAGGACAGGCTTAATTTTTTTTCTATTTGTTAAAATATATGTGCAACCTTTTTGTATAAAACCTTTCCTTTCGTATAATGCTTCTATATATCACAATTGGACTTCTGTATATTTTTTTCACATGGGACTGTCCCTGCTGACCATTTAGAAACCATAGCTAGTTTAAATGAGACTGCCCATTTAGTAATGGTCAAGCTTGGATTAATAATTAGCATTATTATCACAGGAATTGTACTGGTGAAAATTAGCTTCCAGGAGCAATTTAAGGTGGCTATCACCTATAAAGTCCTATGTGATTTCAGACTTTGCTAGCAGGGTTTGCTCCAAATTTTCTGTGATGGTCTCCCTCTTCTATAACAGATTGTCTCTAGAGACAAGGATGACTTCATCTCTTTGTATTTTGGAAGATGGTTAAGACCTGGCATTTCCAGAGGGCCTTTGGGAAGGGAAAGTGAGAAAAGAATAGATATGGATGGATCTTGGTTATAGTTGAGGAGTGGCAGTTAGAATATTTATATAGCAATAGCACTTAAGACTTGTATACTGCTTCATAGTGTTTACAGCACTCTCTAAGCAGTTTACAGTGTCAGTCAGTATATTGCACCCAACAACCTGAGTCCTCATTTTACCGACCTTAGAAGGATGGAAGGCTGGGTCAACCTTGAGCCGGTCAGGACTGAACTCCTGGCACTGGGCAGAGTTAATATGTAATACTGCATTCTAACCACTGCAACCCTACAGCTTCTAAACTTTACTATATTGGGATAGAATTATTTGTTTAAAGTATCTGGCATGAACTATAAACCCAAATGTTAAATACATTAAATTCATGATTTGGAAAGGAAGTCTTGCAGATGATACAAAACTGGATTGAATGGCTAAAACTATTAAAAAAGAAAATTAAAAGTTATATTGAAAGGTGAGACATGGATTGTAAATAACAGAATTAAATTTAATCCAGAAAAATATAAAATTCTTCACTGAGGAAAAATACTGTATATCAGATGCATCAATGTACTGGGAGGATTCTTACTATTACTTATGCATAGGCATGTGTGGAAAGGATCTTGAAACTATAGCTGTGTCTTGAGAAGATATTGAAATTGTAGCTGATCATGAATCAAATGAGTTAGCTCTATGATATAGCTAATATAAATGTTAACTTTGCAGTGCATCAAGAATAGTAGTTTTTAGTTCACAATAACATATCAGTTCTACTATATTCTGCAGACTACCCAACTGGTCAGAGAAATTAGGGTTGATCAAATCTTGGTAGGGGATCTGGAGAAAAGCCAACCAAGGGAAGGAGTACAAGATCACCTAACATCCCAGAAAAAAAAAGAATATAGAAAAATAGTCTTACATAACAGCGAGGTACATTGCAATTGAATGTTAGAAAGGATGTTGAATAGGGTAACAATTACAGGTAATATTTGACTTATGACCACAACTGGGACCAGAATTTGTGTTGCTAAGCTAATTTCTGGTTGTTGAGTTGCGCCTGAATTTGACGTTTTTGCAGTTGTTAAGCAAATCACTACATTCTTAAGGGAATCATGTAGCCATTAAGCAAATCCAGTTTCCCTCACTGACATTGCTTTTTGAAAGCCAGCTGGGAAGGTCTCAAATGGTGATCACATGACCCAGGATGCTGCAACAGTTGTAAATACATGTCAGTTGTCAAGTGCCCAAACACATGACTGTGGAGATACTGCAACAGTTGTACAGTAAGTGCAAGAACCAGTTGTCACTTTTTTTCACAGCCACTGTAACTTCAGTCGCTAATACAAATGATTGGAAGTTGAGAACCACCTGTACCAAGAACTATGAGCTCCTGTGCTCTGGATGTCTGGCAGCCATCTGTTGAGATGCTTTAATGTGGATTCCTGCAGGGAACTTCAATGGCCCTTTCTCTACCATTCTAAGAATACTGAATGAGAATCAGCCTGATGATGATATAGAAGGTTCTGTCCTCTGCAAAAGTACTTTATTATTATTATATGTAATAATTATATATTGTTATCATTTACATCTTTCTTAAAAGTTATTCTTTTAATCAAGGACAAATGGGTGGATGTCAAAGCCAAGTGTGGGTAGCACTGGGCAGCAGAACCTTCTGCTGTCCAAGATCACTGGTCAGAGAAGACTTAAAAATATATATATGCAACTATCAGGCCTGGTTGTGTTGCGTGGACCTTTTGTTTCAGCAAGAGGAGCGGTGTGGTTTTAAATGTTTCCTCAGCCTTAAGCAAAAAAGCTGAAGGGCTGAAACCGGTCAGTCGCCAGCATAGCATCTTCGCCAAGACTTTTGGCGGGAGGAGGTGGCCAGAGCGCGTGCCGCCAAGCAACCCGGTCAGCCCCCGCTCTGCCTCGACGGCGGCGATGATTGACGGCGGCGTCCGTTGGAAAAAAGCCGATCGGCCTCACGCGGGCCTTCCACCGTCCGTTGGACTGAGGGAGGGAGGCAGGCAGAGAAGGCGAACGGGCGCGAGGCGGCCTCGAAAGTCTGGCGGCTCCCGGCAGACCGAGCCACCTCGATGGAGGACCCACTGTTATCGGCCGCGCCCATTAACCCCAATAACTTCCCCGCCAAGCTGTGGCGCCTGGTCAACAGCCCGCGCTTCCGCTCCATCCGCTGGGACGCCCGGGGCGAGGGACTCCTCATCGATCAGCCCTTGTTCGAAGCCGAGCTCCTGGGGGCGGGCAGCAGCGGAATGGCCGTCGCAGGGGGAGGCGGTCCTGGGGGGGATGGCGCCGGCCCCACCTCCGCCGGCGGCTCTTCAATGTCTCCGTCTTCGTCGTCCGCCTCCTCCTCGCCGGAGCTGTTCAAGACAACCAATTTCACTAGTTTCATCCGGCAGCTCAATCTGTACGGCTTCCGCAAAGTGGTGCTAGGTCCGCCGGGAGGAAGCGGGGGCTCTTCGTCTGGCGGCGGATCCACCGCAGGCGCCTCAGCCGCCGCCTCGGCTCCCGGTGGCCCCTTGCACCATTTTCACAGCCCGCACTTTCGCCGCGACCGCCCCGATCTATTGGTGCACCTCAAACGACTGACTAGCGCGAACAAGGCCAAGCTCGCCGCAGGCCTGGAAGTCACAAGTCGGCCACCCAACCGCTTCCAGCGCCTCCTCAGCACCTCCCTTCACGGTGGCGAGGCCCTCCTCAGCCAACAACATCAGCACCATCACAATCCCCCGCCGGTACATGCAGGGGCCGTAACTGCCAAGAACGACAAGCCCGGTGAGAGAGGAGGGCGTGATTGTCATCACCACGATTGTCATCACCTTCTCCCTTGTGCAATGAGAAAGTTACTAACAATAACAACAATATCGTAATGACAATAAAGGTTCAGTGTTGGGCACATGGTACTGAGGAACCAGCCTGCCAGAGTTCAGCCCCAGTTCAGTGAGAAAGCATGTTCAGAAGCTCTCCCATTTCATCCTGAGCATCTAAAAGTTTATAAGAAAAATAAGAGTTACTGCCTTTAGTTTGAAGAATAGTGAGCTTTCTCTGTGCCCTTATGGCTGTACAGGTAGTCCTCGACTTAAAACAGTTTGTTTAGTGATCTTTCAAAGTTATGACAACTTAGGATCGTTTTTCACACTTATGACCATTGGAGCATCCACATGGTCACATGATTTCCATTGGGTGGTTGACAGCTGGTTCATATTTATGACGGTTGCAGTGTCCAGGGGTCATGAGATCATCCTTTGAGACCTGACAAGCAAAGTCAGTGGGAAATTCAGTTACTTATTTACTTCACATATGTAGCAAGAAATGTCGTAAAATGGGCAAGACTCAATAAATTTCTCACTTAGCAACATAAATTCTAGGCTCAATTGTGGTTGTAAGTCAAGTATTTGTATATCATTTTTACCGCAGCTGGGCTGCTATTTGCTCAACTTAGCATTCTGGAAGCGCATTTTAAAGTACAAAACACATAGTCAAGATTCATCCAGTCAAATATGATTGGCTCTTCAGTATCTCATAGGAATACATTTATAACTCACTGGCTTTGTTCACAAAACACACTTAACCAGATCAATTAAAGTTCTAGTGGTTGTATTTGCACAATATATTAAGCTTGATTGCTATTCGTTTCCATTAGCTTTTATGTGGCCTAGTATGTTATTCAAAGCCACACTGTTTGACTAGTCAATTGTTCAATGTATTATATGAATCAGAAAATGAATTTTCTGTAACCAAGTTAAGTATTGTGTGAATAAAGCCATGTAATCACTAACAAGCAATATGAATCACACAAGGGCCCTGGTTCAAATCTTTGTTTATCCAATGTCAATGCAGAATCCATTCACTTCTATGTTGCAGTCTGGTGATTAGAGTCCTTTGCCATGCATATTCTATACAATTAGTCCTTGAATTACAACAGTTTGTTTAGGGACTATTTGAAGTTACAATGAAAATAATGACATGACCATTTTTCACGCTTACAACAGTTGCAGCTTACTCTGGTCACATGATATACATTCAGATGCTTGACAATTGACTTCTATTTATGATGGTTGCAGTGTCCCAGAGTCACTTTTTCCATTCTGACAAGCAAAGTCAATGGGGAAACTAGATTCATTAACAACCATGTTACTAATTTAACAACTGCAATGATTTGCTTAACTGTAGCAAGAAAAGTCATAAAATGGGATAAAATGCACTTAACAAATTTCTCATTTAGCAACATAAATTTTGGTCTCAATTGCCGTCATAAGTTGAGGACTACCTGTAGTCTTTAAGTAGTTAGAAGTCTATGGATAGAAGATTTTTAATTATAGAATCTGCACTCCTCCAATTTACTAGGTAAAGTTTTAAAGTAGATCTCATTGAAGTCAACAAAATTCTTTTGCAAGAACATAAACATTTCTTTAATGTTAAAGATATCCCCAGATAAATCCTTGCACTACGAAACAACACTCTATGACAAAATCTCACACAAGTTTCAATCACTATCTATTGCATCCTATTGAAGGACTGAAGGAAAATCCATTTTGAATCCACTCTGCTTGAAAATTTTTTAAAGCTAATTGTTAAGCCTAAAATACTGTTTTTTAACAATTATCTCCTACATTTGAGAGGCTGATAGATTTAATGAGGAAGAGGATTCACCTATTCATTTAGATAGTGCACCTATAATTATCCCTATTTGGAACCACTCTGCCAAATCTATATATAACCTGATCAGTTGTTGAGTTTACATCATGAAAAATCATAAAATAGGTTTGAGCTTAGCATGTTTTGTGAATCCAGTCAATTCATTTTATAAATAATAATTAAACATGATTTAATCGCAGGATTTCTTTTCCTCTAACAAAGCTGGGAATTTATTTATTTTTAAAAAATGGAAAAACTAAAAGTTTAGCTGGCTGATTTGGAATAAGAGATATGCTTTATGCATGTTCCATTTGCTCCATCTTTTGTTACAGTGTGCTTGCAGTGATTCCTTTTTTGCAGTTTTTCAGAATTTATTTTAAATAATTGGTGCTGTATGTATTTCCTACTACCACCATTCTGTTAGTTAATGCAGCTCTTTTTTCAAATCTCCAGTAATATATGAAGAAACAGGAGGATATCACTGATATATACCAAATTTACTAGTTGCTATGGCTATAAAAGATAAAGGTTTCCCCATTCAGTTGTGTCCAACTCTAGGGGGCAGTGCTTATCAGTTTCTTAGCTGAGGGAGCCAGCATTATCAGAAAACATTTTCCATGGCCATGTGGCCAGCATGGCTAAATGCTAATGCACATAGAATGCTGTTACCTTCCTCCTAAAGTGATATCTATTTATCTACTTGCATTTGCAAGCTTTCAAACTGCTTGATAGGCAGGAGCTGAAGCAAGTAAAGAGATCTATCCCACCATGTGGCACTCAGGTCTCAAACCTGGGCTGTCATTTACATACTCAGCATCTTTAATCACTGAGCCAATGTGCCCACTTTTGCTATGGATCACTCATAGGACCAGGATGAAAATAGATTAAATTATTTATCAAGATCAGTTGGAGATTACTAGTAGGTGAATAAAATCAAAACAAAAAGAACAGGAGAGCACTGGAGCAGGCATTCTATAATATTCTCTCTATTTTTAATAGGGTATATTATTTTTCATTTAGACCCAGCATCATAGTGGAGAAAAGGTAGAAATCTCACAAACAGCTGGAAAAAGTATTTCATAGATGGTCATCATAAGCAGTTTAGAAGAACTATACATTCTCATTTTTCATTGCATCCATTATTAGGATTGTTTCATGTAAGTTAATATTGCTACACAAATATACCCATGTAAGAAAAGCCCACATACATCACAAGAAGTAACAAATACATGTATACCAGATTTATTGTGTGAAATCAGAGGAATACAACAAACATACATATGAAAAATATGTACACATTTTTCTTTCCTACTTCAGTGACAGTTACCAGTACATGCATGGAAACAAAAGACCAATATGATACCACTTTCATACTTCATTTGTAGTTCTACTTGTCTTCTTGTTTGGTAAAAATTTTGATAGAATTTTTTTCCTCCTAATTGTTATTTATACCTTTTTGCATTTCCTCAATCAAGCTCAAGAAAGCTAAAAATATTTTTAAAACCCCTGGTGGTGCAGTGATTGGAATGCAGTATTGTAGGCTGCCCTCTGCCTGGAGTTCGTTCAGTTTGAACTTGAGGTTGACTCAGCCTTTCATCCTTCTGAGGTCGGTAAAATGAAGACCCAGATCGTTTGGGGCAATATGCTGACCCTGTAAACTGCTCAGACAGTACTTATGGAGTGGTATGTATGTCTGAGTGCTACTGCTATTGCTGTTGACAAAATACTTCTTATAATTGTAAAATAATAAAATTAGGGTTTGATAAAATAGAAAAAAAAACAAGTTATGTTTATACGTAATCCTTTAAATAATTTAACTGAACAGTACCTAGCAAGTTAAAGCAAAGAGAGAATAGTAATTCTTAGAATATTTGAACTATCCAATGTAAGTCTAAAACAATGATTATAACAAATCTCATTTGGGAGGAAAAAGATACTGCTACTGAAAAAGCTTTCTTTCCAGGTAAGACTAATACTGAGAGAACATTAGGACCGGGACTGTTGAAAATTTCCTCAAGCTGTTACACAGCAGAAAGTAGTCTTTCGGATATTCTGGTCCAAAATGTTTTAAAGGATATAACTTGTTCTCTATATTTAGTCCAGAATAAATGAGAAGCCAATGCATTTTTTAAATAAGAGAATCACATACTTCCAATAGGTGACAATTCCTTAATTGCCTAAGTCTATGCTAGGTCAACTGTACTTTCTCAGCACTTTTCAAAGATAGCTTCATATAGACTATATTGCTGTAACACACACGCAAGATATTCCTAAGGTATGTGTCATAGAGGTGTGATCATCAAGAGGAAGTGTAGATGCACTAACCCACAGTAATATGTCTATAGATTAGACTACTGCATTATTTATTTGTAAAATTTATATAGCCATCCATCTTACCAAAGGCAACTATGGGGATCATACAACAGTCAGAGATAGCAACAAAAATAAATATTAAAAAACCTGATATGAATGTATCCCAAAAGGTACAATAGCTCAGAAATTGTAAAAATATTTTTTTTAATCTGTTGAGTCTGCACCTAAGATTTTTAGAATACACTTAATAGCACACAAAACTGGACTGATTTTTGGCCCATTTCTAATCTAGGCTGCTGGTTATTATCTCACATTTTTCACAACTTGAAAATGAAGAACACTTTAATAATTTACTTGTAGATGATTATTGAGGCCTTTGTCTACTTGCCATAACTCATTTTCAGAGTTATGGCAAGTAGCAAACAGAGAAAAAAATCTTCATTTTGCATAGTCTGATGGTCTACTATTTTCTTGGTCCAGATGAAAACTTTTTAGGTATATTTTTATTTTACTCCAGATTATTTCTTAGATGTTCAATTAGTAGTTTTTAATTGAATTGAATATTATTACTGTTAAATATTATTACAAAGGTCTCTATCATATTTGATTCTGAAATGGATAGTCCTAGTATCAAATTAAATATAGCAATCAAGGGGTGGTGACAAATCAGTACATTAGCCCAGAATATGTTATCACTCTAGACTCTTCCTAATCCTATGGCAACGTTTTAGGAATTCACTGCTATCCAAAGCAGGGCTAATACTCACTTAAGAAATCCTATCCATAATCATATACATATGTCAATTGATGGAAATTAACAGTTTTCCAATTCTAACTAGAAAGTTACTTCTTTGAGTACTGTTTGCTATATCATTTGATTAAAACTAATCTAGGCAAATATGCTTAGCAGTGATTAGTGGCTTCTGACATGTTTGATAATATATCAAATTTCTCATTTTCCTCTCCATCTTCAGCACCATTGACTTTAGAACAGGTTCATCGATCTTTTCGGCGAGACAGTTTATCTCCTTATTCCTACCTGTCACCATCATCTCACAACCAAAATGCTTTTCCACTGAAAGGTTCCGATCGGACTCCTTTTCCTCCCAGAACATGGCAGAACTCCCTTGGAATGCTCCCAGGTCAGGTGGAAACATCAGCTTTTTCAGACAAAGGCGTTCCATTTCCTGTGTTGCAGAGGTTCCCAACAGAAGTAACTTATACTCTGCAGCCCAGCTCTACATCTGTGCATATTCAACAAGGGCCTCAGACAATGGCCCCATCTTCCCAGAAATATACCAGTTATGCAGCTTCAGCACCATACTCCCAAGCTTACTATCCAACAGGTAACAAGTTCCAATATTAGTTTATTTCATCAAAAGTTTAAAAGTACAAAAAATTTACAAGTCTAACGTTTAACAGCAGCAACAATCTCCAGCAAGGTTCCCATCCAACCACAAAATTATTAAAATATCTGATATATAAAAATACAGATGCAAATTTTTATTAATGTATAGTATGTAGATTGTCTCATTGCTGGACTTGTGATAAGGTATCCCTGATAATATAGAAATACCATGGCAAATCTGCTTGTTGTTTAGACAAAAAGAGCCCTAGGGAATATTTGGGGCTTCTATGTCCTGCCACATATTGTATTACAGCTATTTTTTTGTGACCACTGGCTGTGCCACTTGCAGCGAATAGAAGGAAACAGTAATAGTCCAACAATATCTGAATTTATAGTTTTTCTTATCTCTGCAATAGTAATCATTTGTCTCAAAGCAATGCAATAATCCAGCCAAGAGCTATCATCTAAAATAATGATGGCAGCTCCCCACAATTCTTTTAGCTGGAAATGTAAGGGGAAAAAAACCTAGCCTGGAATTTATAGTTTAATTTGCACTTAATTTTATACTTTAGAATTGTATTTACTATGGAATCACACAGCTACTTCTTAAATACTTGATATTTGATGTGACCTACCCAAAAGATCTATACTCTATTATTTTCAATAATGTCAGAAAATTGCAGTGTTTTGATTTATGACTTAAGTCTAAAATCTATTTCATATGTATTCAGAGTCCACCATACACTTTGAACATGGACTAATGAAGTATTTACAATATGTCTATTTTTTTAAACTTCAGATATCCTGGAAACCTGCTGCACAGATCCATAAACTATGCAATGTTTCTAGTATATGTCATCATACAAAGGAATACATTTATTTAATGTTTACATTGCACCCATTGAAGTTTTAGCAGGGACTTATGGCTCTGTCATATTAGTTTTTGCTGTTCATATTAGTTAAAACAGCCCTGGGGTTTTGCCTTAACACAACAAGCAAACAAAATGTTCAGACAGACTGTTCTATTTTAAACATCAGTGCTGTCAAAGCTGTGCTCTTCTACTGAGGTCATAAGCAGATACTCGGTTAAAAATGACTTCTGAGTAGTTGGATTATAAGCCTGTGAGGGGGAAGTGTTTAATGTCAAAGACTAGAGAAGATTCATTCAACACAAATCATTTTTCTGAATGACTATCTGATCATTTATATTTGAAACTTATTTTAAAAGTTGTTCTTAACTGCTTCTATAAATTAGTTGTGTACAGTATCCAGTGAGTTTTAATATTATCACTAAATGCTAATCTTTCCTTTCCTTATGCAGTGTAGATAGTTCTTGACTTATGACCATAATTGAATCCAACATTTTTATTACTAAGCAAAATAATTAAGTGAGTTTTGCCACATTTTATGACCTTCCTTGCCACAGTTGTTAAGTGAATCACTGCAATTATTAAGTTAGTACTCAGTTGTTAAGTGAATCTGGCTTCCCCATTGACTTTGCTTGACAGAGGGTCATAAAAGGTAATCACATGATCCTAGGACACTGCAACTGTCATAAATATGAACCAGTTGCCAAGCATTTGAAGTTTGATCACATAACCATGGGAATGCTACAGTGGTAATAAGTGTGAAAAGCAGTTATAATCACTTTTTTCAATGCCGTTGTAATTTCAAATGGTCACTAAATGAATGGTTGTAAATTGGGGGCTACCTGTATTGCCTTCATAAATTCCACAATACTCCTTAGTAATGCTCTGCCTTTAAAAGTTTACTAAATAAATCATTGAGTGATAACTACCTGACTTTCTATATAAATTGGGCTTAGTAATTGTGAAAAAACTGCACATACTTTCATGGACTCAAAAATTGCTTTATGTGAAACACATTAACGACCCAGTGGTGGGAGAAATAGAATAATCTTTGTTATGCATTCTTCTGCATTTGCCTATTTGAAGACCCAACTATTTTGATCTAACCAATCCAGGCTTAAATTTTAGGTTTAGTGAGGTTTAAATTGTATCAGAGGCCTAGGCTTTAAGGCAGTGTAATCTAGGCATAATTCCTTACAAAACTGTGTTTGGTAATCCAACCCTGAACTAGCTATTCAGAAATTTTGGATTAATAAAGAATTTCCCTAAAGAGTCCTTTTTCATGTTTCTTGTGCTTGGGCTGCTCTATATCAACACACTCTATGGGACTCAAGGCATGCTGTTGATTTGGGAGTGGGGATGTATTAGTATATTTTACACAGCAGAGAACTATTTTCGATTTTCCTATTATACTTAAAAGAACCCTTTCAAACAATGTGTTTAAAACATATAAATCATTTACTTAGGGGAAGGGATTAGTCCTCAGATCATGTTTGCTTTTTATATAGGTCTGTAGCCCATCTCTGCTGATCCTATACTATACCATAATTCACTGCTAGATTACAGTTGGGAGAACTATAATAGCATTAAATGCAATTCAGAAAACCCTTTTAATTAACTGGGAATATCACTTCTGCTTTTTAATTTTTCTTCTTCTTTTCTTTCTAGCTGTATTGCAATGTTGTTCTCCACCTACCCACATGGATCCCCTAAGTGGTTGTGGTAGTCCTACAGCCTCAATCTATACACACTGCAGCTATTTTCAGGTGAATGAATTAGCTAAGTTCCAGTGAGCTATCTAAAGCATGTCCAACTCAATATATTCTATGCTTTTCTGAATCCTGACATTGATGGCATGTCATAATATCGTGAAGTTTTGAAAATTCACTTTGTTTCTGTAGTAGTTAGGTGTATGGGCATTAAGATTAAAAAATAAATTTAAGAAACATCAAATCGATTCCCTCCTTGGTCACAAGTTTATTATATCTGTGCCTGAACATGTAAAATTTTTGTTCATGGTAAATTATTTCAATAATTAAAATTTCTTGTTTACAAAAAAACAAAAATAAGTAGATGTTAGTTTTTTCCTATATATTAGTTGTAGAATGATATATAATCTTTAAAAATTCTGTTGTATTTTCTTTTTAAGGAAAATAGTTCCTAAAACCATAAACATCTATATTTAAACGTTCTATATTGCTTGACTCTGAAGTAATATAAATTGTTCACACAATAGATTTTCTCCCAAGATTTCTGAAGAATAATGTCAGAAAGACCAATTCAAATTCAATCTCTGCAGCAATATTGTTATATTAAATTCAAATAATATTTAGTTGCTTATTTACATATAGCCTTTTCTTTTAACAATAAGTTACAAAGAGGATTCCAGAATTAAAATTTGTTAATGAAGACTTTGGAGTCTTTGTATTTTTTTAAAAAGTAACTATTATAGACAGCATATGCTAAAGACAGTTGTATTATTGGGTTATATAGTCTTGTTTTACTCAGCAGTGCTAAAATGCACAAATAAATGTCTGTGTCTCACTAGAATCCACCAATGCAATCTTCATATCCAGTTGAATTTTTGCCTTCTAATTGGTCCTGCAACACCTCTGATGAAAACAAGAAGACAGAAGTCAATCTAGAAGCCGTCTTCCAGATTGTTGATGAAATGCATTCATCCCCAAAGCTGGAAATGGTAAAAGTAGAACCAGTGGAGAACCAATGTCCAACTTCACAGTCAAATCGAAACCAGCAATTAATAGTTAATTCAGGGAATAGTGATACAGCTTCTTCAGGTCAAACCAGCCACTTAGAACCTCTAACACCTGTAGGCTCAGATATCACATCCTTTGTTGTAGAGTCTGAACAAGCTATAGCATGCTCCTTGCCACAGTCTCCAGAGTTTATCTACGCTATTCATACCACAGAACCTGTGGAAAATACCACAGCTCAAATAGTGCAACAGCCTACAGTCACACCACAAACATCAGCAAAGGTCAAGGAACAACTGAACCAGTCTTCCGCAGTGTCTCCCATGGTATTTGTTCAAGAGGAGCTTCCTTTCAGTCAGCCACAGGTAGGGAACAAAGTAACAACTATGATATATTCTGGACTGATAATCTCATCTCCACGTTCTTCAGTAATAAGCAAATATTTAAATTAGAATTAAAACAATATATTTCATGGCATCATCAAATCATTGATGCTCAAAATTATAAAATACAAATACTGCTTAATGTGCATAATTAACACAACTGGATATAATGTTCACTATTAAAGTTTTGTTAAAGCAAATTCACCTGTGTTCATATAACATACTTGACAGGTCAGTTAAAAAGTAGCAGCTGTGTTTACACAACTTTCTATGGCTAATATTTGGTTAATATTAACTTTGCTTAGCTTTTTTGTCACTCAGCATGTTGTGTGAACCCAGCTTCATTAGTTATTGTTGACTGAATTGTGTACACTCAGAAAATGGGCTAAATTAAAAAGCAGCTTAAGTTTATTGCACGATTGCAGTTATAATATTAAGATTATTGTGATCATAGGTCAAATTGTAATTAAGGAAGTCTGAATTCAAATCCTCAACCAACCACTAAAGTTTTACTTGACTGCCTTAGATCAATCACCCCTGGCTGGGTATACAAGTTTCATTAAACTATGTTTAATTTGGTTCATAAAGCATTCTAAACTATATTCAGTAACTCCTTACCAATTGTGAGGGTTCCGTTTCTGGAAAGCCCCTCCAATTAGGGTAAGTAAGGTTAGGATTAACTAAGTCATGCCTCAAGGCATTAAATAATGAAAATAATATCTGAAAATAATTATTTCTGAAATATTTTAACCAAATAATTGTTCCAAAAATAATTGTGTTTCTGAAATGTTTTAACCATTATTGCTGTCATGATGCCTATTTGGATGACACTGGTAATTAAGAGATGGGGATCATTTTAAGAGTAAAATTTAATTGTTCTTTGAAAGATAGCCTCCTTTTCCACAATAACCCATGCATTCTGTTGGTTGTTCTGAATGTGCCTTTGCACATGTAACCTTTTAAAAGAAATCTTTGATGATAGGCTTCCCACTTTTCTTAAGTCTTTGTTATGGCATCATGTGTGGGAAACAGCATAGACTATCCTGGGCCTCTGGAATAGTAATGAAATAAATATTATATTGTGGAGAAAGGGCTTCAAGGACGTGTGCCAGTTTCCAAAATTTTTGAAATAAATGTATTGCTTATATGTGTGTTTTACTTCTTTATAAGGAGGATCCTAATATAAAGTGTGAGACAAATACATCAGAGACTGTTGCATCCTCAGAACAAATTGGTTTCCTCGTTTCAGAGGTGGGTCCTCTCAACAAATGTGCCAAAGATTCAGTTTCATCCATCCAAACCAAATGCAGAGAAAGAAGGAGCAGTTCACAGAAGGGCAAATCCCCTGGTAAGAATGGTAGGCTTTTGGTGTCTTCTCATATAAATTTATTTATATTGAAATACTTAAGGCCATGCTTTTCCTCAATTTTTAGAGGATTTTTGTTTCTGCTAATTCCTCAGATACCAGTGTTAAGGACAGTTAACATGAATTACATTTACCTTTTGTACAAAGATTCAAATACAGGTAGTCTTCAACTTACAACCACAACTGAGCCCAAAATTTATGTTGCTAAATGAAACATATGTTAAGTGAGTTTTGCCTCATTTTAAAACCTTTCTTGCCACAAGTGTTAAGTGAACCACTGCAGTTGCTAATTTAGTAACACGGTTGTTAAATGAATCTAGTTTCCCCACTGACTTTGCTTGTCAAAAGGTCACAAAAAGGGGATCATATGACCCTGAGATGCTATGACTCAAAAATATGAACCAGTTGCCAAGCATTTGAATTTTGATCATTTGACTACAGGGATGCTGCAATGTTACAAGTGTGGAAAACGGGCGTGTCCCTTTTTTCAGCACTGTTGTAATTTTGGTCACTAAATGAACTGTTGCAAGTTGCAAACTATCTGTATTAGTATGGGACACGCTAATAATTCTGATTACTAATGCACTATTGATCATCCCTCATAATAAACATTGAATAGCCTTCATGCAGTTCTGTGCATGAAGAGATGTGCAGCAGAATTTATTCGTGTGTGTATGTGTTTCAACTGAAGGAGAACTTGAGCATTAGAATGGAGAAAAAATGAAATGTATAATCTGTTGACCTTTATTTGATTTCTTGACCTTACAATCAAAATATAGTCAAAGAGCAGAAAATGATTTAGAGTTTCATTTAGGCCTGCTCGGTGCAGGAATTGCAGGACAGAAAGAAACTTCACAGCCTTATATATCTCTAGCAAAACAAAAAACAAAAACCAGTAACCAGTAAAATAGGTTGTTTAAATATTAAAATACTCATAACTAAATTTGAACTGTTAAGCCAAAATCATTTTTTCTGCAATGATATGTCTTGGTTGTAATTGCAGTGCTTATGGTTTATGGCTTGTGTGAAGTATTTTTGGAATGTTTTAAAATCAAGATCTTTGGTAGGAAACCCCACCCTTACCTTCCATGTCATAGGTTTTATTCCTGGTGATTTTCATTCACTTTTTTTCTAATCCCCATAGTATTTGCCTCTCTGAGAGCTTTCTGTTTTGCTGAGGAAATTTTGGTATTTGGACAATAGGCATCTACGTGGGAGTGTAATTGACAAAATATTGTTGTGACATCACTGTACAAACTCTGTACTTATGTACTTGCACACTGTTGTGATACAATATGAAAGAGTAGAGTTTATTTCATGATCTCACAATGTCTATCTAATCATTTTGGCATCATGATGATTAGGAATGGATCCTTGTGACTTTAATAATTTCTTCCTTGATTGCACTTTATTTGGTCCAGGAATTACATTTCTCTTTGGAGACATGAATTCTTTGGCTTTTGAAATCTTGTTTTAGGAGTGTAAAAATCATGGCAGCACCATCCTCGTTCTGATGATGCTAATCAGGTGTCTCTTCTTGAAATACATAGTATGCTGTGATTTCTTTGTTGTCTGTTTGGACTGCACTAACATACATGTGTATTAGATAAAAATATTAATTGTAACACTATTAAATCTGCAAGTTCAGTCTATTACGCTTCAGTTTTTATCTGTTGCCTTTCTGAGAAGGGTGTCTACTTGACATAAACAACTGTAATTTCAACTCCCTACCTTTATTTGGTGTTACAGATAACATATTAAAGCCAATGCAGATGTGATCTTGAACAGTAGATATATTCCCTTGTATCTTGATGTTATATCCTATATTCTTTAACTATAATTATTAACTATTCACTTATATACATAATAGAAAGAGACCACACAAATATAGTTATCTGCAGCTGTGAATTTGTAAGTGGCTATCTGTGCATTACTTCCCCTACCAATTTGTATCTGTTCAATGTAGCAAGAAAGAAAATGTCTAATTTCACTGAATCGCTGTTCTGCCACAGCTGCCAAGGAACTCTACCTGGCAAATATGAGTTTGGAACCCCATTAGTTAAGACAGACAGGGGTACATTTTCTATCTCTTAAGAGGTACTTTAAATCTTAAGAACCAAACTAAAGAATAAATATTGGATTGCCATTTCTGTTCTTCCTAGATCTACATTTGCTAGTGGATGTGGCTTGCAAGCAAGAACATTTTCCAAAGGAAGAAGAATTAAGGGAGTGAGAATTTGGTGGAAAGTATGTACAAATGCAGAGCGGTAGCCAGCTGGGGAAGAGCAGTGGCTTTCATTCCAGGAGTATTTTGAGGACTGTTATGACAAATAAAACTCTTCCATTGCTCATTTTTGTCACACTTGTAAATAATCCCACCAGTTTTTAATATGCCTCTTTAATAGGTTTAAATTATTTTTAATCTGTTTCATATAATTAATAAACTTATTTGTCCAGGTCTGTTAAAAGTGGAAAAGCTGTATTTCAAACAGCTGACACAAATGTCCCCATAGGATTGTTCAAATTTCATTTGAAGACTGTTTATCTCATTTTCTAGTTAATTACATAAGTGGTTTCTTTCTTTCTTCATTTTCCATCTCTAATAGCTGCTGGATATTTTTATGTTAATGGTAAGTTCTTGTGTTTTAATAATTTCCTCATTCTAGGGCCAATATAAAACAAATGTTAAGGCTTATGTTATTTTATTGCTTATCTTAAATGTCTTTGCAAGCTATTTAACTTGTTCAATATAATTGTATTTATTGACAATAGATTTTTAAAAGTAATGACTTTGTACTTGAATGTATATATGTTGTAATTAGAATACATGCAAATGATGTAGCATGATGAGAATGTGTTTTAAGACTATTCTGATTTCCCAGAACTCTGAAAAATGCATAAGGATATAATTTCCTAAAAACTCAGATCAAATAGATCTGTTATTCCAATTGACTTTCTACAATTCCTAGATTTCTTATATCCATTATCTCTCAATGAAAGGCAGGATGAACCAAAGTCAACTACACAAACTCAGCTATCGCCTCATATTGATTTGCAAGACAGTAGTATATTATTTCTTGCAAAGCTTCCATTGCTTTAATATACTGATTATTTTGAGATAATTCCAATCATTTTTCAGAGGCTCCATTTGTCCATCTATATACATTCAGTCTAACATTAAGATAAAAAAATTAAGTGAAAAATAAAATGCTACACAAGTAGAGAGAATACTTAGCAAGGTCTCTGAATTTTTTTAAAAAATGGTAAGAGGTGCTTGTATATCAGTCCTGACTTAAATTAAAAATAAGGCATTTCATTCAGGTCTGTTGCAGATCCAAATAAATGTTGCAAATGAAGCTCATTCTTTATCATACCTGATTGGACTACAGGAAATATTTGTATTGTAGCATAGTTTTATTAATAATTCAAAATTATTAATAAAGAACATTTAAATGGGCCTCTATTTTTAAGGCTCAGTCTGGAAATGGCGATATTTATATCTTTACATCTGTCTGTAAACTAACTGGAAAATGAGGCCAAGGAGCTGGATCTCCTACCATATTTATAGACTCATGTATTTGACTCTTAAGTATTTGTAGAAAAGAAAGAATATTCAAACTGGCTAAAGAGAAAATAATATTCAAACTATTTAAGAAATCTCTACAATATTGCTTGATGTTAATACTCAGCATAACTCTATCTGGAACAACCTTCTCAGTACTTTCACAGCTTTCAGCTAAAATGTATTCTATAAATAAACAATAAAAAGGCTTACTCCAAAGAAGTCCAGTGTTTGCTATAGTAATACATGAACAGGACTACCAGATTTTCTGGCAAAAATCCATAATACTAGACAGAAGAATGATAAGTTGAATTTTCTGTATCTATATGCTGTCATCTAGTGGTTATTAGGATTTTTGCTGCTTAGGTGTTAATAGTCCTATGGGAGAGTAAAGTATTTGATTTTCATTTGAATAAAATTAAGTACTAAATCACTCCACTCTCAAAAGTGTACTACACCCTCAAAAGTGTACAAAAGTGAAAGGACAATCCACATAGTCATTTCAACACTATATAGTAAGCAATTTAAAAGAAAAAATTCAGTAACAGTCTAGAAAGTGGAGATCTTCATTATAATAAAAAGAACAAATCAAAACATCAAATATCCATATTTTCCTTCTTTTATTTGAAGAAAATTGACCTTTCTCCATATCTAAATAAAATTATTGCAAAACTGGTTTTCGCATGGAGTTCTGTACATTACTGAATACTTGACTTTCTAGTAACTTGAATGCTGTACCCAGTGGAATTATACCACATCCTAAATTACAGTTTCAAATGGGTAATCTTCCTTTGAAGTTTCCTGTCTGGCCTGTGGTATTACTCACCCAGCTGATGTCAGAAGACAGTAATAGTTGAATTCCAGATTTCTAAAAATCAGCATTACCTAAAATCTTCCTTGCAGTGGCTATTGGGGAAAAAACAACACAACCAAGATTAAGACTTGAAGAAAAGCTATGGTAGCTGCAGACTTTAGCTTTTCCATTTATAAGTCAATCCTTCAGTGATGAAACTACTGTAGTTCTAATTTCAGTGTAATTGAACATGTCATACTAAAAATCTTGAAACACAGATTTGTCTTAACACATTTGATCAAATTATTTTCCATTTCTCTGTACATAATTCTTTGGAAAATGCAGCAAGTGCATCTTGCTCATATAGACTAGTTAGCCAATTCATGTCAAAAGGAAATAAATGTTAAGTGCAATGTACTACTGAATCAGGAGAGGGAGTCTAAGAACTCTGAAAATCACATTCAGGGGGTGGAGTTATTGCCTTTGGCTGCTCCACCCTCACTTTGTGTCAGCAGGTAGAAAGTGCTTGTAGTCCTAGAGGAGGGAAGCCAAGAGCACAAGCTACAAACTACTTTTGCCTTCCAGGAGCTAAGCCAGTTGTGATTTTCGGGAAAGAAGACTTTTTCAAGAGCTCTGCAGAACTTTTCAAGTTCACTTCATCCCATTGGGCCGTTTTGCCTTTGAGGAATGATTGCATTGTGTTTTTCATGCAGTCTTCTGATGGATATCTGCTGTTTCAAGCAACTGCCATCCTGCGTACTGTCTAGATATGCCTACTATGTTTGCTGAAAGAAGGGGAGACTACTCAAATTCAAAAGGAAATTTTCCTGGATTTTTAGCAAGATTTTTAGGTTGTTTTTGGAAAGTAGATTTCAGCCACGCCTGACTCACAAGCCTTCAGCCAGGAGTCAATTTTTTCTTTCTGATTCAGACTGTGGAATTTCACATTTACCTGTATAAAGAGTTTCTGTGAGTTTTCTATATTTCCCTTTCCTTACCTGAAATTTATAGGTAAGATTTAGAATACATTTTGATAATTGAAATATTTTGTCCAAGATTTTTCAAAAAGCTGCTGGTATTTTTTTTCTCACAGATTTTTAGAGGCACAACTATGTTACAGGTTTGCATACCAGTTTAAATTTATGTTTTCTTTCTCTGATCAAACAGTTTAACTGATAAATGTCTGCAGCTTTTCTATAGATATAATCACAAGCATGCTTTTTAATGTTTAGTTGTCTTAATTTGCATTTAACTTCTAAAAGGAAACACATTCTGAGATTTCTACAGCTATGAAATAAAACAGGTGTATCTGTAGTTGTTTTTCCTGTTTTTTTAGCTTCCAAGTTTTGGAAAACATCTGAGAAATGCCTTTTTTATTTCATAAATTTGGGGAGCCACGGACTATATTTTCTGTATTAAAAATGACAAACCGCTGGAAAATTCCAACTTAAAGTTTAATTCAACAAAGTGAGTGAGGCGCAGGCATTGGAGGCATGCAATTATGAATAAAAGATCAAACAGATGACAATGAGTAAGAAAAACCAGGTTTGCATTCAAATGCCTAAATGCAAGTACATGCATGGTTACTCTGTGCTTTAATGTGTGGCATAAATAGAAGAAAAAGACAAAAGTAGTTGGCATTAACGGAGAAAAGAATATATGAAAAAAATTCAATTTTCAGGAGTCAACAAGAGCTGCTAAGGTCATCTGATATCGGGTTTGATCCTGTTTGCCATCCTAGGAACTAAACACCTGAAAGGATTTGAGCAGCTGATATTGTCTTCCATGGGGGACTGTCTAAAATCAGGTATAGCAGTCTTACTAGAAGAAACCAAGAGCTCTTCATACCATATGCTATTCATACCCCATTGGTTTTGCTCACTATGTCTGAATTTATCTGGAGGAGGAGGAGGAGAAGGAAGACCTGATCTGGGGTTCTTATAATCTTGTGAAGCTCAAGGATTTTACAAACACGTGGCATGAAGAAACTTTGAGGAAAGCCTGGAAGAAGCTCCAGGTAACTATCCTTTGCTTCTTGTTTGCCCCATTGACTGCCGTTGCACAGAGGGCTATAATCCTCAACAATTTTACCAGTTGTTGGAACCTGCTGGTGGGGTGAGGACACATTCCTGAGCAGTATGTGTGGCCAGAGCACACTGCTGCAGCTGGGAGCATGAGTGTTGGCCCCCAGCTACAGCTGGCAGTCCTCTGGCCTTGGCTGCTAATGGCTATGCTGCAGATACGACTAGGCTATTCGGGACTGGCACTGGTGGCAGCAATGGAAGCCGAGCGGACTTTGGCCCAGAAGGCAATAATTCGGGTAATTCCTTTCAAACTGGAACCCCTCACACTGGAAGGAGTCTTTGCTAGCATTGCAGAGATCACCCCTGCTGAAGGCAAACTGTTGCAGGTAAGCAAATCTTTATTCTGTTGCACTTGTTCAGTCCCATGGAAGATCTGCTGGTCCCATTGGTGTTTTATTTTGCTTTGTAACTGAAGCCACCAAGTAGAACTGCCCACATTATAGCTTCACAAAGCTTTCCTCATTGTATCCCTTTTTATAGCTACTCTTCAGCTAAGCAAATGTAAATGAATGGGCAGGTGCACATTGTTGTTCCCAGGGATATTGTAATTTTGTTCTGTATGAATGAAATACAAAGGCATGAACTATCAGAGACACTTTCATTGGACGCATGATTTTGGTTTTACTTCTATGATTTTATATAAAAAATTATGTTCCCTTGATTCTTTTTAGGCATAAGGAATATATTGAATTGGGTATTTGCACATGTTACTGATCTTATCATGCCTTTCAGAAAGTGCTTTAAGTGACAACCAAGCCTCTTCTTTCCCACAATGACTCAGGAATGTCAGTCTTGGATTCTCACTTTGATCAGAGAAAGGGATGCTTGGAGGAACTTTCCATAGTTTGAGCAAGAAGAACCAAATGGAAAAACTGAATGAACTTCTCTGTTGTAAAGTTCAGCCTATTGTGATGAAGTGCAGTTGCTGGCCTGACTTCATGTGCCATCTTGTCTTGCAACCTGTGACTCACCTTACAGGGTCCTCACATGACTTGAATTCATTGTTCACAAGCAGAATGGTGCAAAACTCAAGCAATGTCATATTATACAAAATGCAGATAATTAAGTAGGTGATGCCTTCAGTAGTAAGGTTCAGGGTGAAATTGAAATAGAAAGGATGTTGGAACAGTTTCAGGATACTTTGCAGGGGGATGGAGAGAGAAAAGAACTTGAAGGTGTTAGGGATTGATGAATGGCCAGAGTACATTGTATCAAGGCACTGCAACTGTTCTGGTTGGCTTCTCCTGTGAAGTTAATTCAAATCACAAGGCAAACAAACATTGCACACTACTTTTCTATTTTATTGTTTAGGAAAGACAACTGTCCACTGATAGATCACCCAGTTTGCAAGCAAACGATCCCCAATCACGTTTCTGATATATCCAGTTCAAATGATCTCAATTGGAACTGAAAAAAGATTTCCCACCTGAGAAAGCTCCAGTAGAAAAAAACGGGGATGTCCTCTGACTACATAAGGCAACTCTGTTTATATGAACATGCGTCCTTTTTGAAATAAGCCTAATTCAATGACAGAACTTTTTCCTAAGATGAGAAATTTATGAACTACAGGCTAACAAAGCCTATTAAATGTATGTGAGTAACAAGGAAGAAATAATCTCAGCCTTAGATCTTGTAATCTGCTACCACCGCATAAAACAGGCTCACATGCTATTTTTGAAAATATAATCATAGTGTGTGTCAGGAAAAGTAGTCTTTCATATTCGCAATGTATATTGTGGCCTCAAGCTGACAGTGATGTCTACAATATAAGTCCTGATTCTAAACCCTTTTCTAGGTAATTCTGAGCAAATCACCACCATTCTGTTCCCAAAGTGTATCAATTAGAAACACACTGTAACAGATCTTAACATAGGACTTCTCCAAAAAACCAAAAGTCAGAATAAGGTGTGTATTTTCTTGTGCATGCTGTTTCAAATTTGGCTTGAGCCAAAAAATTAATAGAGATGACATTTTCTGACTACCTCCATTGCTATACAATTCATGATTTCATATCACACTTTCCTGCCCAATCTCTTCCCAATAGTTCCATATCCTATTATTGTAAATAGTGTTTTTATCTTTTATCTCTATTACAAACCTGTGAGGAAAGTTAGCCTGAAACAATGAACAGTTTGAGGTCATTTAAAATTATAACACTTCATAGTAATAGCAGTACCCTCTGTGTGCACAGCAATTTACAAAGTGGAAGAGGACAATCCCTGCTTAACCAAGGCATACAGCATACCCAAACAGAGAAACAAAAGAAGTAGAGGAAGTGACATAATACGGAATTGATCAAAATGCATTTTTGTAGGTTTAATTACAGGGTTAGGTTACAGTAAGATACAAAAAGGAGAAAAATTTATTCTTTTTAACGTTTTACATCCACATTGGGAGTGCTTTTGTTTGTGATGTAATACTGTAATAGAAAGTAGAAGGAATTTATTATACCTTTAGATCAGCATCCTGAACTCAGCCAGTTAAAACACTGTCAGTTTGCTACAGTCTGCTTCACCTAACTGTAAGGCAACCTGGATCTGTTTTCAGGGAACTAACGTGGACCATATTCAATGCTCTGATAAGTTTTTATGTATTTATGGCCTCAAACTGAGGTGATATCCTATGTATAGTTTACTGTGAATAATGATATTCTAAAAAATATCATGGCCATTGTTTAAAATGTCTTCAGAGCAGTTTACAAAAGAAGATAGATTATGTATCAATCCTAAAATTACTAAAAAAAAAACCTATTAATGTATTAGCTAATAAAAAGGGAAACTGCAATGCCTAAGGGAAAAAAAGAATTGAAAGGCAAAAAAGAAAGCTTCAAGTGGGTTTTTTTTTTTTTTTTTGAGAGAGAGAACTATTGTACAATTTTCAAAACTTTGCTTTATAGGCTGACGGTTGCATTATTCATTTGATCACAACTCAAGACCATTTTGGACTGCATTAGTGAAAGCAAGTATCTTGAACTCTATCTAGAGATGAAACAAATAGCCCAACCACCTAACCAGTTATTTTGTAGAGACAGATTTCTATTTCCAGATGTTTCAAAGCAAACAGCTACTGTTTTTCAGGTTAAATGAAGTTTCTGAGAGGACTTTTAGGAGCAGCTCCACTAAAACACTAGATTGCATCCTGGACCTAACATATTATGTTAAAATGATCCCAGAGGAGAGGGCAATTAATTTTGGTGGATGCAGCGGATGTTCTTTTTGTATTAGAAGAGGAAGAAGTTGTCATGCAGGCACTTCTTCTGAGGAACCAAACCTGGTACAATTTGAAAACTGACTTGCTGAAGGTGGATAGTTTACAACCGCCAGATTGAAGGATTTTATTGTATTGACCAGCTGTTTGTGTTAATAGTTTAGCTTGGTGCGAAGGCAAGTGTCAATGTGGCTAAAGAAAAAGAGAGACATCTGCCATTTCACTGGGCAACTGGCACCAACAGACTATCTCCCAAGTCAGATGTTCCTCATGGAAAAGGTAGATGAGTGGAAGATGGGAATGGAAAATGCTCAAGATATGGTGCATTTAGAAACAGAAAGGATCCCAGTAGGTGATCAGCCATTAGAAGTTGAAAACTCAATAGGGGAGTGAACTGACAGTTGAGTAAGGCTAAGGGAAAAAGAATAGGGGAAAATATCTCATAGTCTCTAGATCAGTAACACAATATCTTTGAAATAAATCCCCCACACACACACTTGCTAATCTGGAGACAAAAGAAATATCTGCAGAATGTAATGTAGCCATGAACCTGAGACTTGCTAAGAGTCAGTTATAGACATGAACTGTGGGGCTTATCCATCTTCATGCAATCAACATTCAGCCGGTCCCCCAAGAGAATCAGTAACTGACCATTAAAGGAATGATAAGTTCAAGTGTTGCTATCTGTAGAAAAGAGTACAGAACAGAAGAGGAATTGAGATAAATAAAAGGAACAGCTGAAAAGAAAGACGCATAAGGGATGGGATAGGGATTTAAACAGGCTAAATTTGAAGCCCAAATTCTCAATGTGAGTTTAAAACAATGTCATTTTAAGTCAGGTTGGTGGTAGTCCCGTGTTATAATAGGAGAGAAGAGGGAAATCTGTAAATAATTTTTTATTATACTGTATACTCATGCTGCGTCATAGAAGGTGGTATGTCTTGAGACTGGATAAAATTCCACTTCTTCCAATTTTGTATTTAAAAAAAAGATATAGCTTGCAATCCAAAGCTACATTTGGATACATACAAGCTTTTAGCTAGGAATACACCTGCAGAATTGGAAGTGTGTATCCTGATGCCAAGACAACCCAGGTGTGCAATATAAATTGGACACTCAAAAGGCTGGTTTTTAACAGGTATAATAATCCAAGAGAACTTCATCACTATAGCAACAATATAAAATGTTTTGCCATAGTTTTAACCCAATCCTTTTAACTTA